GAACAAAACTTTTATTCTTTGGGATTTTTCAATTCAACATGGCTTGAGTTTTCTGTGCATCTGTGAGTCATGGATCCCGTTTGGTGACTCAAGCGCCCTGCTGGAGCTGGTACCACCTGGCTGCTCCTGTTTTAATATCCCCAGATCGCGGGGCAGAGGTGGAGGGCTGGTTGCTGTTTTTAAATCCTGCTTTCCTTGTAAACAGCTTACACCCACCATGTCATTTTCTTCATTTGAACTGTGCTTATTTGAACTGTGCATCTCCCCCCTGCTCGTTGTGCTGATTTATCGCCCTCCAAAGACTGACTCTAACTTCCTTAATGATTTCTGTGATCTTGTGGCAGACTGCATCCTAAAATATGACTATGTCCTATTTTTTGGTGATTTTAACATCCATATCTGCTGTCCTGACAATGTGCTTGCTAAAGGTTTTTTGAATTTGCTAGATTCATTCAATTTGACTCAATGGGTATTGTAGTGACTATCAAGTCCCACTTTTAGTCACCCTCGGGTGCGGGTGGAGGCAATGACTCGCTTCAACAATATTGTCCAGGCAGAAAGCGGGTTTGGGTTTATTGTCCCATTTATTGAATATGATGACGATCACAAGCTGGGTCCACAATGGCTATTTCTTGTCCAGGTTTATGTAAATGATGAAAGTTATAACGGCAAATTAGATGTGGCATATGAAACCAAATGAAGCGGTAAAAACCGTGTGACCTCCCGTCACCCACAAAAACGCCAGTGCACTGCCACCTCAACACCTTTATAGGCTCCGCAGTGCCACTAGTGGTCAAAGGAAATACAAACCATAGTGCAATAAACTGAAATGTACATAAAACATTATCAAAATAAACTTAGACCATAATATAATCTAAACCAAAACAATATTGGCTCCTACAGGTATCGTCCCCAACTCATGCCAGGGGTCACACCCTGGATCTGGTTCTCTCTTTTGGTCTCCCTGTCATGAACCTTGTGACTTTGCCTCCTGTGTTCTCTGACCACTCTCCTGTACTCTGTGATGTTACGTTGCCATGTCCTGTCCCTGTGTGTGAAGCTCCAGCTACTAGGTTCAGAGCCCTGGATGCAGAAACTATTTCAAAGTTTGTGGACTGTATGTCTGTAAGGTTAGAGACCTTTAACCCAGATCCATCTAACACTGAACACTATTCACAACACTTTGATTTACTTTGTAATCAGGTCCTGGACGTGGTTGCCCCTCTCAAGCTTTGCAAGTCTAGGCCTAGGAGGGAGCCTTGGCTCTCTGATGTCACACGGGCTTGTAGGCGGGCGTGTAGATCCTCTGAGAGAAAGTGGAAAAAGGATGGCCTACAGGTCTCTCGTGAGTTGTTCAGAGCATCACTGGTGGCTTATCAGGATGCTGTGAGGGCTGCTAGAACTGCATATTTTGCAGACATCATCGAAACAAACTCCAAGAATCCCAGGATTCTCTACAAAACACTTAATTCTGTTCTGGTTTATCAGGAGCCTAGCTTAATGTCTCCTACAGCTGCTGGAAACTCTGAAGCTTTTCACAGATTCTTTGTTGATAAAGTATCAGGCATTAGAGCAGCTATTTCTGGTAACTTTATTGACCCTGTTCCAGTTCCTCCATCACCACCCACCCTGAGTTCCCTCAATACTGTTTCATACTCTAAGCTGAATAAGCTTGTTGCGAGGCAGAAGCCACTTGACGTTCTGCCGCCTCGTCTCTGGAAGGCTGCCTTTCCACGTCTTGGCCCATCACTTGGTCAGATTATCAATGGGAGCCTCAGCACAGGTGTGGTCCCAGCTGCTTTGAAAGCAGCAGTTATTCGGCCGACCCTGAAGAAACCTGGTGCTGATGTCTCTGTGATCGCAAATTACAGGCCTATCTCTACCCTGCCTTTTACATCAAAACTGCTTGAGAAAGTCGTTTATCAGCAGCTGGTCCCACATTTAGCTGACTCTGATCTGTTTGAGGTTTTCCAATCAGGGTTCAGGTCTGGCCATAGCACAGAGTCAGCTCTACTGAGGGTCTTAAATGACATCTATCTATCACTAGATCAGGGTACATCTGTGGTGCTTCTGTTGTTAGATCTGATGGCAGCTTTTGACACGGCTGACCACGTGATTCTGCTTGATCGCTCGGAACGATGGGTTGGGATCAAAGAGTCTGCTCTGGGTTGGTTTAGATCATATCTCCACAACAGGACATTCTGTGTTAAACTAGGTGATGTTTTTTCTTCTTGGGAGGGGCTCCACTGGGGGGTCCCGCAGGGATCGATCCTTGGTCCTCTTTTGTTTGTCATTTATTTGCTTCCTCTGGGGTCAATCTTTCATAAACATGGCCTAGCGTTCCATCTCTATGCTGGCGATTGCCAGATTTACTCTCCATTGTGTCAGGAGAAAGGTCTCTCTGTCCAGTCCTTTGTGGCCTGTCTTAACGAGGTGAAGCCTTGGCTAATGGCCAACTATCTGCATCTGAATGAGAGAAAGACAGAGCTTATTGTTTTTCATCCCAACAGCAGGGCTGTGGGTCGTTATGACCTTGGCCCTCTTTCTCCCTACTCAAAACCAGTTGTCACCAGTTTGGGGGTGAAATTTGACGCTGGACTTAAATTTGATGCTCACATCAACTCTGTGATCCGGTCCAGTTTCTTTCATCTGAGACGCCTTGCAAAAATCAAGCCTATGCTGTCAAGAGCCCACCTGGAGCGGTACTCCATGCTTTTGTAATTTCTAGGCTTGATTACTGCAACTCTCTATTTGCAGCACTGGGTCAATCATCACTGCACCGCCTACAGGTTGTGCAGAACAGCGCAGCCAGGTTTCTGACTGGGACCAGGAAACGTGACCACATCAGTCCGGTTCTGGCCTCCCTGCACTGGCTTCCAGTCTGTAATCGTTCACACTTTAAACTCCTCGTCTTTGTTTACAATTTCTTCCAAGGTAGTGCTCCCCCCTATCTAGCCACACTCCTGAACAGACATTCCCCATCACGCCCTCTGCGCTCCTCTGACCAAGGTCTGCTCGCTGTCCCTCGTACTAGGTGTCGTACTCGTGGGGACCGGGTTTTCTCAGTCCTAGCCCCATCACTCTGGAACCAGCTGCCACCCTCAGTCAGGCTATCTCCATCTCTGCCAGCCTTTGAGTCACCTAAAAACCCACCTCCTCCGCCTGGCATTCCCTGAATGTGTTTGAGTTAGGCCTTCATTTAATTCCCTGCTTTCATTGGTCTCTTTATCTCTTGTTTTACCCATGTTTTTACCATTTTTTCTCATGTACCGTGATCAGCACCTTGGGCTTCCCGACAGGGTCGTGGAAGGCGCTTTATAAATAAAGCTTTGATTGATTGATTGATAGGTTGGCAGCGTTCATGTCCTTGTACCACCATGAGTCACGTAAAAATGTGACTCATCTTAATACATGTGACAGCCCCATCTAGTGGACAACTTTTGTTTCTGCGCTTACCTGTAGTTATCGTCCATTTATCGTTATCCAGGTGAAATCCATAATATATCATGATATTGATTTTAGGCCATATCGCCCAGCCCTAGTCAGCACTAGTGAAGATAAGGGAAGGGAGGCCCCTTTTCGTTTCAACAAAAACCCAGCAAAGAGATTTTAAAACTTCAAACTTATTAATAAAGGTGTGAAATTTGATTTCCCTCAATACACAGAAAAAGAGTAGCAGCACCAAGTGTTTTCAAAGGTTGTTTTAAATTATGTAAATTCTTTTTCACACTATTAAATATTCTTTTAATGTGGCTCTTGAAGCGTAGTGTCGAATCACGCGTCACACCAAGGTTTTTGAATTCAATTCTCTTCCCAAAGATATACCTGAAAGTTTGATGCCCACTGGCTGCTTGGTGAACATCGTACAGATTGTTTTAGTTGCGTTAACTTGTAGACAGGTTTGAAAAGGGCTGTCATTTATAAGAACCAAACAGAGGTGAGAAAAGTGAGGAAGTTTCTGGCATACTTTTACACGAGTGAAAAAGAGCGTTGTTGGCATACATTTGAAATTCAACATTGACACATGAACTTGGCAGATTGATGAAATGTATGTATTAGGGCTGGACGATATAGAAAAAAAGTATATCGATAACAATTTTTTTTTATATTGACCAATATCGATAATTATAGAAAAAAATGTAAAAAATAGTAGAAAATATATTTCACATGCAGCCCTGGCCATTTCATTTTTGGTATTTTTATTTTTTCTCCACCGCTTCTCGCTGAGACATCTTGCTGCCTCATGCTCTGTTTTGGCTTGAGAGGGGAGGGCCAGGTGACGTAGCGTGCTCGAGTTTGTGTTTTTTTTTTTGGTTAGGAGTAAGTAGTGAGTCTAGGATGCTGCTACCTGATAGGTTAGAATGAAAAAAGGAAACTTATCAAAGTTTTATTGACCCATTTTTTCCCCTATCGCACCGCAAGTTTATCGATAAATATATTGAACTATTGAATTATCGTACAGCCCTAGCATGTTTTAATGAAAATAACAGAGTATGGAGCCCTGAGGTAGGCCAACAAACTATCTATAAAAGTTGATTCGGCACCATTAATGTGTCTGTTGATGCAGACACAACATGTCATGTTTTCTAAATATGGTTTTATCTACAGAAGTTCAGATTTTGATTTGAACCTTCAGCCTTTTAGCTACAAGGCAACAAAGCTACCAGCCCATCTACCAGGCAGCACACACAGGACTAATTTAGCATCATTTTATTTGAATAATCCCCATCACAGCTCGGGTCTGTGACCTTCAGTTGCACCTGGTTTTAAAAACGGGAGTGAACTGGAAAAATATCTTTCTCATTATTCAATCATACATGAACTAAAGAAAAATAAGATCACATCATGAATGGTTTGAGAGGAGAAGAAAGATGTTAGAAGGTGTATAATCCTCCAGTGCTTCTACAATCCTGACAGCTTTGGTGCTACTAGTGTTACAACAGCGTCCTGTATGAAACCTTTTTAAATCCTTAAGATTAAACTTCAGCTGGGACTCTTACCAGGTAAGATGAGTGAGTGGACACCTAGATGGGGGGGCTGGCCTGGTGCCTCTTTCTGCTGGAGGGAGTTGTGCAGTCCGACCCTCCCCAACGATGCGTTTATGTGAAAGGTGACACCTGAACAGAAGGTGCAGACTCATAAACACATTCCTATGTTAGCTCTAAAGTAACAAGCACCAGTCATGACTTTATCTCTGCCTTTACTGATGGATGCATCATGGGATTTTCTCTACTCATCTGAGCGTTTCCACAAACAAACATGTAAATATTAATGCAAATAATAATGCAAAGATCAGCCTTGCAGCAGTCTCTGTGAAGGCCACTTGGACAACAAGGACTAAGTAACAAAGCCTGGTGATGAACAGCCTGACCCACATCTTTTCTAGATTTTTAAACTTAAAGACCAAGTTCACTTGTTTTTTCAACCCATGTGAGTCGTTCTCTATGGGGAAAAAGCTCTGGCGCTCCTGTTTCAGGAACCAGAACTTGATGCACCTCAACCTGCCAATTTAAAAGTGATTTGTAAACGTTAAAAAACTGCTGCAAAGCACAAGAGGACACTTTAAAGGACGGAGCAGCAGAAAAAAACCCAGCAGTGGCGGCTGCTTGTTTCTAAGCTTCAGCCACTGAGCATACTCGTCAGGGATTAAAGGAAAAATGTGTAAAACTAAAATAAAACGCAACAGCACCTCACACATTTCCATTCTCGTTAGATGAAGAGAAGAAGCTGGTGGTCGTTCCTCCTAACCAGCCAACAATCGAGTTAGGGTTAACAAAACTTTCCAGGAACACCTTCATTAAACTGTGGCGCTACTTTGCTGCAACGCTGAGGCAGCACCAGCGAGGTGAGCCTGTGGCACTGATGCGTCACCATCATGTGTTTTTCACTTAAGATTCTTCACTCGGTGCCAGTGGGGAGTCTGGTGTGCTTGTCATTTAGCTGGAGGTTTTTGACCCTAATGCCCATCCGTTGGTAAGGTCTTACTCAAACACAAAAAGTATTATTTAGGTGTGTACTGCCCCCTATCGCCAGGGAAAATACACACCGTCACTTTAATTAACGAATGAGTTCATTATTAACTCAATGAGCTGAGGTCTGGCGGCTGCAGAACCAACCCTCACAAACAGAGTGAAGACGTCAGCGTCAGTGCTGCAGTCACAAACAACCAACGTTGGACATATAATGCTAAACAAAACGATTTCTTAGAAACAAAAGAACATTTTATCCATAATATTTCTGAAACAGAGAGGCAGCGAGCTGAGCCTCCGTCATCGGCTGAAGCCAGGTGTGGCTTTATCAGCTGGATTTGCCTCTACTTGTTTTTATGTGAAGCCAGACAACAGCTGCCTCAGCATGACGTTGTTTATACTTTCTACAAAACAACCAATACAAGACTGGAGAATTCTGCAGAGGGTCATTGGTGAGGAGGTCAGATCATGTGGGCGACGGTGGCACAGGAGTTAAGTGCTAGCCCCGTAATCAGAAGGTTGCAGGTTCGAGCCACGCTCAGTCTGTCGCCGTCGTTGTGTGCTTGGGCAAGACACTTAACCCACGTTGCCTGCTGGTGGTGGTCGGAGGGACCGGTGGCACCAGTGCTCGGCAGCCTCGCCTCTTGTCAGTGCGCCCCAGGGTAGCTGTGGCTACATCGTAGCTCATCCCCACCAGTGTGTGAATGTGTGTGTGAATGTGTGTATGAATGAGTGAATGACTGATTGTGTTGTAAAGTGCCTTGGGGGGTTCCAGAACTCTAGAAGGTGCTATATCAAATACAGGCCACTTACCATGAAAATCTTCATGAAAACCCTTTTTCTCATGTGAACAACCTATGTGGGGATAAAAGAGATGCAGTTAGTCTAGGACCTCATTTCATTTGCAGTATTTATTGTTGAAATGTATATTTTTATATGAAACATGAAATTTTCTCTGAACTTATGAGACTGTATGAATTAATGTCCTGTCAGTGCGCTCTGGTGGACAGACACTCCCGATGACGCTGCTCCTGAACGTGGAACATGTCTGAACTCAGAAAAAAGTATTAAACCTTTATTTACTCTCTCCTGCATGTCTGCTGTATGGTTTGTTGTCATTTTCGGAAAAAAATACAATTTTGCTTCTGTAACGTGAGGAAGTATGGGTTTCTGTGCCAAAGGTCGTATTTGCCCGGCTGGGTCAAAGCTGGGTCACGCAGCACCTTCACCCACAGATTAAGACCTGAGCCGCCAGCAAGTCTGAAGGACTCCACAACATCCGAACACCTGCTCTCCAGAAGAAGGACTTCACACACAGTCTAGTCATAATAAAACAGAGTCTTAAGCTTTCTTTATTTGATTAATGTTAAATAATCATTTGATCACTTTGCTCATTATAAATGTATTTTAATCAAATGAATGATTATTATGCTTTGGGTAATCATAATGAACTATAATGAATCAGTATACTTAATTAAATAATGTTTTTGAAGATGTTTAGCGATGACCTTCACACCTGCTCATACAGGTCCGGATCCACAGTAACTTCAAAACACATTTGCTCTGACGCACAACAAGTTTGCTTTGGGAACAGAAGTTTTTCGGTAAGGAGGCAGAACGGAAGAGAGCAGAAGTGCGGAACGAACGCCACAGGGAAAGGAGCCCTGCAGGGTCCTGTTCTCCCACCACGCTATTTCTGTCAAGTCAGACAGAATAGCTGAAATGCAACCCGCTAACGCAGACTCGTCCCAGAGTCTTTTGATTTCTGAGTTAATTTAAACTTGAGAAAGCGCATCTGCGAAACGCTTCAGCAACGTGTACCGAGGTCAACTCTGGACTGGACCGTCGCACACCTTTGTCTTCTCTGTCAACCAAGGTGTCATCTGGAGAAACAGCCTCCTGAGGTCCGGATCTAAAAGAGGGTACTAAGTGTGGTGAGGCAGAACACGTCCATATAGCGTTCTGATGCTGTTTTTCTAATAAGAACTAACGTTTAATTGCAAAACATCATTTTTCACTCAGTTCACCTTCCCTCTCCCTGAAGCAATCTCAGACACCTGCAGGCACGCGTTCATAATTCCATCATCCTCAATCTTAGCACATCCAACACAAGGTCTATTTGAGCAAGCTTAAAATATCAACTGTTAAAGATTGTCCAAAAAGGTTACCAATGTTGATCGTTTTTCCTATGATTGTCATTTCAAATCGTTAGTTTAAATTGAAGAAATAAATCTCTTAAAATTTAAACTTGCCTTTTCATTGAACTGAAACACAGACAAACGGATATGATCGTCAGTTTATCGATGAAAACAACCTTTGAGTCTTCTTATCTCTATAACATTTGGTTATTAATTTGTTAAAATTAATATTCCAGATTATTATGTAGAATGGTTCATCTTTCATAAAAGAGCCATAAACCATTACACTACACTTCTAATATTAAGTTTGAAATTGAGAAGAAAGAAAACTTTTCTAGCAGGCGTGTTTTTTTTTCTTTGTTTTATTTGTGGAAAAAACATGAATAAATCTAAAACTTCACAGGTTCTTCCAGGATGATTCTGTTGAGGAACTTTAATAACATAAGTTTATTGCCAGACTTAAAGTCCATTTTAAAAGAAAATAAGAAGCAGTACAAGAAAAAATAAAGATACCCATTAACATTAATACCAATAAGATCCTATATAAAACACTGGATATAACTGCAGCAGGAGTAAGGACAACTAAACTAACTAGTTGAGATAAACCTACCCAAACATTTTAGCCAGTGCTTTCTCAGCCTAGACATACAAAGAGAGCAGCTCACAGTGGGATTTGAGAGTGCAACTATAATACTATTGGAAGCTTCTTCCAGCTGTGTCATAAACTTGAACATTAAATATCTTAAAAGTGCCTAAAATGTGCACACTCTCACAGAAACAAACATGTGACTAGCACTTCCACCCCTTAGAGTTTGGAGGAGGATTCTCATTGCATCATTATATGCCACTTGTAACCTGTGCCAGCTAGACTTTTTTAGAATGACCACAGATGTGCAGTATAGAGTGGTGTGCAGTATGCTTTAAATAATGCCACTTTAACAGCTACATATTTGTGCAGTGGTGTTTGCTTGCACATATAGCTTGCAGCACTGCCTGTAAATGTCATCATCGTCGCTCATCAAGATATTTGACCTTTTCACAGACTGTAAGACTGTTGCTGGACAACTTAATCATCTCTAATGATAGGGTCCACCACATATGGGTCATTATTTTAGCAATTATAGAGGGAACTATAGTGCTGTCTCCATAGCTCAGCAATCATAACTTCTCCAGAAACACCTCCAACTGTATAAGGAAGCAGATGTTTACAATTATTGAGAGACTTCACCTCTTTCCAAAAGCCAGAGAAATTGTTTCCCATTAGCTTATTTGCCAAAGAGTCAGCTGTGAAAGCTTGCTCACTCCTAGGTATGAAACGAACAGCATGCTTATATCTAGCTCAGCTTCTGCCTAGGTCGTCCGGCAGAAGGTACGCCATGCTCCTCATCCAGACAGTGAACATCATTACAGTGAATAGCTTCTCTATGTAAGTGATCATGATTTAGATATTGGTCAGTATTTACTTGACAGGTCATACAGTCCTCTTTATTGAGAGTTGATCACCTCACATTTGCAGAGCCGGTGCTAACAGAAGCTTTGTTATAACCAACGGATGTGGGCAACTCATCAAGATTTATAATAAAAGCTAGGGGTATATGATCAGTTAATGCATAACTGTACTTAACACACATAATCCCCAGAGCTGCAAGTCCATCAGCAGTGCTGGAACAATGGTCAAGCCATGATATGGTATGCCAAGCTTCACTTATGTACGTACAAGTGTCCACAGGTAGCACTTGGTGTTATAAACACCGGAAGATAAAATGAAGCAACAGGAAGCTCAAAACGCAAACAGGAAGCCGCGACTTACCCTTTGTGAGGAGGAATCCGGCCCACTTCATCCGCCGGTAAATCGGTAACGATGCAGACTCGGACGCATGGAGCCGCAACTGTCAGTGTTTTCGGAGTTCGAGTCAACAGAAGCTAAAGCTGATGTCCCACGTGTGAGGGGAAATAGGAGGCACTTCCGGTCTGAGTGCTGTTTTAACCATCCACACGTTAACAGAGTACAGGAATCAAACCAACTTCAGCTTCATTTTCATTTTCCACCCAGAGCTCAGCCTCTAATGCTAAATTATATGTATTTGTGTGCCCATTTTCTGGATGCAGAAATAAATCAGGGTGAAACCTCTGTTTGGTGGACTCTCTTCAGCCACCAGAGGTTTTAGGGTTTCTTTCCTGAACTGTGCTGCCACCTAGCGGACATGTGTGGCCAAAGTGCCATTGAACCGCAGTAGAAAACACATTAAACCCTACACAGATGTTTACTTTATCTGAGACAGAAGGTGAAACCATCCTCTTTCTCAAAAATAAATGTTCCTTTTTAGGGTTTTCAGTGTTGAAGAATGTAAAGATGTGTTCACACCTTCATCAATCTTTCTTAAAATACTAACATGGCTAGAGAGAGAGAGAGAGAGAGAGAGAGAGAGAGAGAGAGAGAGAGAGAGAGAGAGAGAGAGAGAGAGAGATCATGAGTCAGAAATGGGTAGAAGGCTTTCTCCAGGTCAGGGACGAGGTGCTGGAGGAGGACACGCTGGAGGGACTATGTCTCTCGGCTGGTCAGGGAACACCTTGGGATTCCCCTGGAGAAGCTGGCCCAAGTGGCTGGGGAGAGGGAAGTCTGGAGGAGGAGTTTGAGTGAGGGAAAGATGGAGTGTGAGATTGACAGGTGGATTGGTGCTGCATCTGCAGTGACCGGTCTGTCGTGGTGAAGAGAGAGCTGAGCTAGAAGGCAAAGCTCTCGATTTACCGGTCAATCTACGTTCCTACCCTCAACTATGATCACAAGCTTTGGGTAGTGACTGAAAGAACGAGATCACGGACACAAGAGGCCAAAAAGAGTTTTCCCCACAGGGTATCTCGGCTCTCCCTTAGAGATAGGGTGAGAAGCTCGGTCATCCAGGAGGGGCTCGGAGTAGATCCGCTGCTCCTCCACATTGAGAGGAGCCAGCTGAGGGGGCTCGTGCATCTGGTCAGGATGCCTCCTGGACGCCTCCCTGGTGAGGTTTTCTGGACATGTCCAACTGGGAGGTGACCTAAAGGGAGACCCAGGACACACTGGAGGGACTATGTCTCTCGGCTGGTCAGGGAAAACTTTGGGATTCCCCTGGAGGAGCTGGCCCAAGTGGCTTGGGAGAGGGAAGTCTGGGCATCTGTGCTTAGGCTGCTGCCCCCACAACCCGACTCCACATAGTGTTGCGTACAGGAGTAAGTGTGTATCGTACAGGAGTAAGAGTGTTGCGTACAGGAGTAAGTGTGTATCGTACAGGAGTAAGAGTGTTGCATACAGGAGTAAGTGTGTATCATACAGGAGTAAGTGTGTATTGTACAGGAGTAAGTGTGTATCGTATCGTACAGGAGTAATTTTGTTGCGTACAGGAGTAATTTTGTTGCGTACAGGAGTAAGTGTGTATCGTACAGGAGTAAGAGTGTTGCGTACAGGAGTAAGTGTGTATCGTACACGAGTAACTTTGTTGCATACAGGAGTAAGTGTGTATCGTACAGGAGTAACTTTGTTGCGTACAGGAGTAAGAGTGTTGCATACAGGAGTAAGTGTGTATCATACAGGAGTAACTTTGTTGCGTACAGGAGTAAGAGTGTTGCATACAGGAGTAAGTGTGTATCATACAGGAGTAACTTTGTTGCGTACAGGAGTAAGAGTGTTGCATACAGGAGTAAGTGTGTATCATACAGGAGTAAGAGTGTTGCGTACAGGAGTAAGTGTGTATCGTATCGTACAGGAGTAACTTTGTTGCGTACAGGAGTAAAAGTGTATCGTACAGGAGTAACTTAGTCGCGTACAGGAGTAAGAGTGTTGCGTACAGGAGTAAGTGTGTATCGTACAGGAGTAAGAGTGTTGCGTACAGGAGTAAGTGTGTATCGTACAGGAGTAAGAGTGTTGCGTACAGGAGTAAGTGTGTATCGTACAGGAGTACTTTGTTGCGTACAGGAGTAAGCGTGTATCGTACAGGAGTAACTTTGTTGCGTACAGGAGTAAGAGTGTTGCATACAGGAGTAAGTGTGTATCATACAGGAGTAAGTGTGTTGTGTACAAGAGTAAGTGTGTTTCATACAGGAGTAAGAGTATTGCGTACAGGAGTAAGTGTGTATTGTACAGGAGTAAGAGTGTTGCATACAGGAGTATGTGTGTATCATACAGGAGTAAGAGTGTTGCGTACAGGAGTATGTGTGTATCATACAGGAGTAAGAGTGTTGCATACAGGAGTATGTGTGTATCATACAGGAGTAAGAGTGTTGCGTACAGGAGTAAGTGTGTATCGTACAGGAGTAAGAGTGTTGCATACAGGAGTAAGTGTGTATCATACAGGAGTAAGAGTGTTGTGTGCAGGAGTAAGTGTGTTGTGTACAAGAGTAAGTGTGTTTCATACAGGAGTAAGAGTGTTGCGTACAGGAGTAAGTGTGTATCGTACAGGAGTAAGAGTGTTGCGTACAGGAGTAAGTGTGTATCGTACAGGAGTAAGAGTGTTGCGTACAGGAGTAAGTGTGTATCGTACAGGAGTAAGAGTGTTGCGTACAGGAGTAAGTGTGTATCGTACAGGAGTAAGAGTGTTGCGTACAGGAGTAAGTGTGTATCGTACAGGAGTAAGAGTGTTGCGTACAGGAGTAAGTGTGTATCGTACAGGAGTAAGAGTGTTGCGTACAGGAGTAAGTGTGTATTGTACAGGAGTAACATTGTTGTGTACAGGAGTAAGTGTGTATCGTACAGGAGTAAGAGTGTTGCATACAGGAGTAAGTGTGTATCATACAGGAGTAAGTGTGTTTCATACAGGAGTAAGAGTGTTGCGTACAGGAGTAAGTGTGTATCGTACAGGAGTAAGAGTGTTGCGTACAGGAGTAAGTGTGTATCGTACAGGAGTAAGAGTGTTGCGTACAGGAGTAAGTGTGTATCGTACAGGAGTAAGAGTGTTGCGTACAGGAGTAAGTGTGTATCGTACAGGAGTAAGAGTGTTGCGTACAGGAGTAAGTGTGTATCGTACAGGAGTAAGAGTGTTGCGTACAGGAGTAAGTGTGTATTGTACAGGAGTAACATTGTTGTGTACAGGAGTAAGTGTGTTGTGTACAAGAGTAAGTGTGTTTCATACAGGAGTAAGAGTATTGCGTACAGGAGTAAGTGTGTATTGTACAGGAGTAAGAGTGTTGCGTACAGGAGTAAGTGTGTATCGTACAAGAGTAAGTGTGTTGCGTACAGGAGTAACTTTGTTGCGTACAGGAGTAAGTGTGTTGTGTACAAGAATAAGTGTGTATCGTACAGGAGTAAGTGTGTATCGTACAGGAGTAAGTGTGTATTGTACAGGAGTAAGTGTGTTGCGTACAGGAGTAAGTGTGTATCGTACAAGAGTAAATGTGTATTGTACAGGAGTAAGAGTGTTGTGTACAAGCATAAGTGTGTATCGTACAGGAGTAACTTCGTTGCATACAGGAGTAAGTGTGTATCGCACAAGAGTAAGTGTGTTGCATACAGGAGTAAGAGTGTTGCATACAGGACCAGAGTTGCAACTGGAGTGTAAAGCAAGACTAGTTTAAGGTATGGGTGCATATGTTTGAGGTGTTGAAGCAGTAACAGTAAGCATGGCTCTATAGTTTTCAAGCAGCAGACAAAAAGTGTAATGATCTTACTAACTTTACTTACAAAGATGCACACCTTACACTCCTTCCATCACCACCAGGTGGCAGCTGAGTGCCTTGAAATGCAGAGAAAAATGACCTTCGCTTTGTCTGCTTGAAAATAAACACTAGAAACTCTCTTTGGTCACTAAACGCAGTTATTCAATTTGAGTTTACAAATTTAGAAGATTTAAGCTCATCTCATTAGTCGGTGAGCTTTTTCTGAGTGTTCAGTCAGGAGAACAAATCATTAAAGAGCAGCTTATTTATAATGTGTGTGTGAGTGCATGTGTGTGTGTGTGTGTGTGTGTGTGTGAGTGCATGTGTGTGTGTGAGTGCGTGGGCGTATGTGTTCGTGTGTGTGTGTGTGTGTGTGTGTGTGTTAGCAACAGCACCTTAGGAGGATGTTCAAAGGGGGCCCAGAAGGGGACCACTGATTATCTTCGGGGGGGGGGGGGGGGGGGGGGGGGGGTAGGGGGGGGGGTAGGGGGGGGGTCATACCAAGACCCCAAACCAGGTGTTTTATTATTCTGCATTTATTTTCAGGCTGTGTAACAATGCAAAAATGTGGGAGTTAGGGAATCACCTTCTGACATAGACCTACTTTAAAAGCTCTTCAACCTGTGAAGGACGACAGCATGAGAATAAATAAAAGAATGAAGCGTGTCCTCTCTTGACCTCCTTACGGTAGGACATCAGCTTCCTGATTCTGATCAACTTAGACCTGTTGTTTTTTTGGTGAGATTTGCTTTTAATTTGAAAAAATGTAATTATTGATCTTAGATAAATTCAGTAGAAAACAAACATTTTCTTTTAATAAAATCTCATTTTGTATTTTTCAGGATCTAAAAATCCCCCAAAATTTAGGGAAAGTGAAGGTGTTCACGATCCAAAAGCTTGGGTCTCAAGAGGTTAAAATCACACACACACACACACACACACACACACACACACACACACACACACACACACACACACACACACACACACACACACACACACACACACACACACACACACACACACACACACACACACACACTGCATGCATCAATGCATATTTTATTTAGATTTATCAGTCTTTATCATTATAAAGGTGATAATTTATTATTATTATTATTATTATTATTATTATTATTATTATTATTATTATTATTATTATTAACAGCTACTGTCTGACACCATAATCAGAGCCTATTGTACTGATGAGGAGGAACGATGGCAGAAATCTCATCACTCATTGTGTCTTTGGTCCAGACTCGTTCCAAATCCACTCTGTCCCGCTCAGACTTAATTACTGTTAATCACAATTAACTGGACAATAGCTGACAGAGCTGATGGACAATCCTCTCTCCTCTGAGAATCCCCCCAGAATGAAGGCGGAAAACTCCATTATAAGGAAAGGCTCTGTGATCAGAGGGGGAGCC